TTTTTTTAAGTTGAGCATCTTCAAAGTCTACGATTCTAACTGTAGGGCACAGCAGCTGCCACTGCAGATTTGATCCTCTCAGCTTTTGGCAGCTCTCAACTTGAAATTCTAGCAAAAGAATTTTTCAAGTTGCTATTATTGCCTGTCATGGATTTATAAATATTGTGCACTATCTGCTGTGGCATGGCTCTCATGGGACACCAGTGCATGCCAAAAGCATAACAGAATGAAAAACAGTTCCTATTCTTCAAATAAATGCTAATTTTTTTAACTGTGCTCACACGATGCGTTTGGTGATCAGCTTCAATAGTACAGAATATATATCAGAGGCAAAAAAGCTGATTGTCTTTTCCAGTAGTATTCAGCTGCTACTTTCATTAAGCTTGTTTAATTACATTCCAGATGCTAATTTGCAAGTCGATACCAGAGGGTGCAGGACAGTTTGCCTTTGAATCATTTTCCTGTGATGTGATGGTCTTGAAGCACACCACTACCCTCCAGTAGCCCTAGCAAGATATTCTGACAATTAGTGCAAGAGAAAGCGGTATTGATCTTGACAGAAAAATACTAATCCTCTACCCATTTTGTTAAATTAATCTCCAGGAGTTTTAAGTTTATCATCGTTGCTATTTCACAGCAAATTTTAAGTAAAATATACATAGCATACTTCAGACTAAATTTGTTTTAATTGCAACAGAAAGATCACGCTATTTTGCTACTTTACTAGAAAAAACACACATCTGCCTGAAGAGGCAAATATTTTAAGCTGGCAGCCCTAACAAAAGATGAAGTGTTTAAGAGCACAGCTGAGCTTTACCACCAGAAACCTGGCCAGTTTAGTTCAGGCAATCACTAAATGGTTATTAGAATATCTAGTAAAAACAAAGGAAGGGTTAAGGTGCATGCAAGTCTCGGAGATCTAAATATCGGCTTCAGCAAACTGGTAGGCTGCAGTCCCACATGCAGTGAGTATCTGCTGCCATTTATGGTTGTGTATGAAGACAGTTTAATTAGGGTGACCTTTCTAAATAGGAAAGGTTGGAGATTTACCAATTTTTGGTGCCTTTTTCTGGTTGTCTTCCACAAAGAATGACTTAAAAATACAACCTCAAAAGCTAGCTGAGAATACAGCGGAATTTTTAGATTCACAGCATAGCTCTTTGACATCCAGATCTTTGAACAAGGACTATTACGCTGTAGCTGTTGATTCCAAGGATTTGCAGCCCGTGTTTTCAGTATGAACAGCACACGTGCCAAGTGCACAGTCACACAAGAGGCTGGAAAGAGACTCTGTCCTTCCTGCAGAGGCACAAGGGGAGAGAAGAAAAACCCACGTAGATTCTACCTCTGTCTAGTGGTTCTTCCTATCAGCCATCTAGGGCGATGCTCTTACAGAAGAAAGTCGAGTGCCTATAAAAAATATTCCAGTACTTCTGAGAGCATTTATAAACACAGCAGAGGCCGGAAGCCTGGGGTCTTCAGGTACTGCCCAAAACACTGCAGCAACACCCGAACCCTGATCTTACCGCATCTTTCTGATTTTGCATGCCCACAACTATTTCACATAAACTGACGGAAACGGCGCCAGCTCCAGGAATAATCTAACTCTTATCAGCTTAAAACTGCTCAACAATTTGTTTGATCAACGGGTGTTCTGTGTCACATTTCCTCAGGGGATGTAGCAAGGTACAACGCACCACTTCGGATCTAATGGATCAGTTTTAGAGAGGAACTCACGGGACCACCACCTGAAAGGACACTGCATGTGAAGGAAACGACCCACGGCAGCTCATGACAAAGATGAGGAACACCTGAAGACCTTTTCCGAAGTAACTCAGTGTCTTCCTTCCCACATTATTCAGTGGCACTGAAGAGCTGTAAGGGTGGTCGTGTCTGCATTTCAGGCTGAACTCATTGCAACTGTTGGTGTTACGAGTCATTTTTAACAGGTCACATTTTCAATTTTGTGTTCAATTCTCAGCTTTTTTCCTTACTGAGAAATTGTTAATCAATTGGAGCGAGAAGCAGCATTCACAGAAAGTCTGCAGAGATTAACGTGGTTTAGCAGAGGGCTTGACGTTACGGAGGCGTTTTACAAGATACTGTTCCAGAAGGGCCTTTAATTGTTTGGGGTTTATTTTCACCAATTGGCTGCAGATAACTGGATTTTTACCGTTTAGTTTAGCAGGCACTTAACATGGTGTAACTAAGTGTACGGGAAAATTACAGATAAGAGAAAAATAAGGTACCGTACACATTGATAACTGAATGGCTTCTTCTGACCTTAATCACGACACTCCAGCTTTTAGCTCTGAGTGATTCTCTACAACAAACCAACCATTCTTCAACTTTTATCAGTATCATCAGCAAAAACAGCCACAACCTTACAATTTTTCTGATAATCAGCTTTTAAGTAGATATTAAAATTCTAAGTGCATTTATTAGTTCTGAACATACTCAACCAGAAATCTAATTGGTTTCATATACTACTCGAATGCTTTCTGTGGATTTTACAATCGTGCTTTCTCTTTTCAAGATTCTGAGAGAGGGAGAAGGATGGACTACTGACACAAGAACAGAAATATTGACTAACCACAGATAGCAAGTCGAATGTTTTTAAAGCTTTCATCTACATTTAAATCACACAAGTTTTTCCATATATAAATTTGCAAGAAGCCCTACTTCTTTCGATTTATTTTACCCATCAATTTTTACAACCTTGCAGTAAGTTCACATTAGTATATTTAACTGTGGGGAAACTAGAGCAGATTTGACTTTTTTTAAGCTTCAAATCTCTTAAATTTTCATGATCGTGAGGATTACTGAGGGAAGAAACACTAAGATATATTAAAAAAAATAATTCTTACCTCCATGTCCTGTTTGTATTTATCTTCAAATACCGCCATAGCTGCTAACGATCCAGAACCTATAGTAACAAAATTAGGACACTTATTTAGCCAGTGTATTTAGATACAGTTTTGGGGGTTTTTGAAGAAAAAGATAACAAGTATCAGTAGCACAAATCACACTCAAGTGCCCCTTATCTTACGATACACTCCGAAGTGTCTATCCTCTTTAAGTCCAGCACCGAATTTAATCCTAAATTTATAGCTCATGTACACAGACCTGGCCTGGCCCCATTCCGACCGCCTGTTTCTTTTTAGTACTTTGAACACGAAGGTAAGAAAACGAGGTTGCAAAAAGAGTTAACCGAATGCCACCGTGTGTAACCCCTACTCCTCCACTACTGCCGTCCCACTTTTGTGCCTGGCCGCGTCAGGGGGTACGGCACGCAGAATGAAGAGATTGCTTTAACGAGCTGCCCTGGCACCGTCACCTTGACACCCGGGGCCGAGCAAACCAGCGCCGGTAATAGGGCGCCTGGCTGCTGCCACCACGTTACCTCCCAAACCCACTTGGAAGCAGTTTATTATGCATTTCCTCGGTGCCATTATTTTTGCATGGAACAATAACAGAAGAACAGACAAAAGGACAGGTACAAAAACATGGGTTGGTGTTGCTTCTCTTGAAGGATCAGCACACGTGCGGCGCTGGAACAAGCCATCTGCACCCGAAGCACTGTGCCTGCAGGAGTTACGAATGTGCTTTCTGTAAATTCACACAAAAAGCTCTGGGAACCTATTTGAAACTGTAAACTTGCTTTGTTCAGGAAGAGTGAGTCTTCAGGAAGATACCTTGTCTGTCTGCAGCCCCAACCATATTTCAGAGCACACTACTTTTGGGGAGTGAATAAAGTTACCTGCAATTTTTTACTCCAATTAGAAGATTTTTTGGCATTTATTACTTTTTAACTTGTTTTGCATACTGCTATCTGTTTAGCTGGGTCACAGAGAAAGCCATATTTTCTATTTAAAATGATTTGTGTATATCGCTTGACCACCTCAATGGTTTAGTGAAAGAAAAAGGCAGCGATTAAACAGTTTCAAATGAGGTGTCCTGCTGATTTTATCAAGTCTGCTGAATGTATAATGAAAAAGGAGAAGCTGACAGTGACACTGTTGAGAAAATACAGACTCCCTTATCTGAACCATTTAAGGAGGTCCAATTATAGATCAAATTTAAAGGGTAGAAACAGCAGATTTACAGACACAAATCAATGAACATGGTAATCCCAATGAATATGACAGATACCCCTGTTACGGAATATTGCTGTGGTTGAGGATCATTACCTTTACAGCACCAAATACATCACAGCTAAAAGCAGGGCACTCTCAGTGCGTACTTGTAGCACAGGCAATGACTATTCATTTACACCTTGGAGAAATACCTGACTCCATTTTTTAAATGCTGAAACTAGGAATAAAGAAGATTTTCAGACAAGCAGCAGCAGAAATGAACTGCTGATACAAACGGCTGATATCACAGCACAAATCACAAATAAAAGGAATTTTACTGATCCTTCAAACAAGGTCAAAACAAGGTGTGTTCCAAAACACATAATTCTTCTTGTGGAATGACACAGGAATATTTCTGTTGAGGGGAAAAAATAATCTGAGATATGGTGTTAAACTAAGACCACATTCTTGCTACACTCAAATGAAGGCCTAACATAAGCAGAACGGAAAGCCTCAAAACTAGAGAACAATCTTACCCTTGAATAAGGGGCTCTTTGAAAAAACTAGGAGTATAAAGGCTAAAAAATGTGCAAGAATGAAAGTATAACCAATAGCATCTGACAAATTACTATATTAGCTACTGAGCTAAGAAAAAAGGCCGTAATTTTTATTTGTCAGTATAAGTTTTAAGAAATTGTAATACAAATCCTGCAATAATTTCATACATGACTCAGGCTGGATTCATTGCTCCAGCTCCTTTTTAAAATAAATTCCCCAAAGAACCTACAGGCAAGAACTCAGTACACTTAGAATAAGAAAAAAGGCAGGGGGACGACACACACTTTACATCAGGTGAAATCCTTTATACATAAAGAACTACACTTTTAACTATATCATTATGTTACCAAGGCACAAACAAATGGCAAATCTAGTATCAATTTCCAATAAATAAATGCAGATCGTCCGATAACGTAAGCCTTCAAAGAGCTGTTGAAAGTGTAAGCTTAATTAAACCTACACATAGACATTTACATTTGAAAACCAAGATCCCAAGGAGATTCTAACAGAATAGGAGTTAAAGGTGGAAAAGCTGAATAAGCTCATTTGGTTTTTCTTTCCTCGCTACTGCTTATAAACCCTAAACATAAGCTTTATAAGCTTGTATCAAAAAAAAGTAAGTACCTTAGCACAAGTCTCACAGCACAGCTAAGCATTCTCAGAAATAACAGATCGGGGTAATCTGACACAGCACAATGACAATCCTTTGACTAGCACCACATGTAAACACCATGATTTAGAAACACAAATAGAGGAGTATTTCTGAGCTTTTCCACCAAAACAAATCATCTGCTCTTTGACAACAGCAATACGAGCTGTGTTGGAAAACACTAACAGAGCGCAGATATTCACCAGCAGCACGTGAAGAAAACCCAGCCCAACGCCCCCTTTTGCCCTGTGGCCGGAACCCCGGCGCTTCCCCAGCCACATAGAAATGCAGAAAATCAGCAGCGGACAGTCGCTCCCGAGTGTGGTTGTGAACTTCACCATCCACTTACACCAGCTCCCCTCCACTTGTCACATTCCACACGGGATTCAAACAATCCCACAATGTTCCAAGTGGTTCAACTGCCTCGTGAAAGCTCCGCGCTGGGACAGGAGAGCCGGCAATAAAATCTGGGAACTTAAGTAAACGTGGCAAGTGTGGGTTTCTTATTGCAGTACCTACAAAAGCACAGAACCCTTGGATATTAAGGGCCTACGGAGAACTTGCTTGTACGTGGAGAACCAGCTGTCCGTGCACTCAGTGCCCTCCAATAATTCATTTTTAACAAGCACGCTTTGCCTTCCTGTAGAAACAAGCTGAACAATTGCTAAACACGTCTGGAGAAAGATAAAATCCAAACATTGCAAAACACCCTCCATCAATTAGGGGTGGATGTTCCCACCTCGTACACACAAGAACCGACATAAGTCGCCACCCGTCAGGATTCAGCATCGGCAAGACGCAGCAGTTCAACCTCAAATCCATCAAACCGGTCAGGAAAGCTGTGAGAGAAGGCACTGGCAAAGGGTGTCTTTAACGGAGCTCAGGTTCAAAGGAAGACCCAACCAGATATTTATCTTAGATCAAGAACGCTAGTTTGAAACCTTAACACCACATAATCAGTGCAGAAATAGGAAATCTTCACTGGGATTTTTTAAATCTTGGCAGTTTACAAGTGTTCTGTGTAAGAGCAATAAGGACAATTAATAACAAAGCATAACTGGCAAAGCCATCATGTATTTGTGTTTATAACCTTCAGGAAAAAAACCTTTCAGCTAGATGTTTAAAAACTACTAACGGCTATCAAAGGTTACACTTTAACAACCTTGGAATCAAAATCATCAAGAAAAATAACGCTCTATCAATTCCAAAGAATTTATTTTGCATACTTCTTCAGTAACCTACACTTTAGAAACAAGCATTCAGGGAGTATTAACTCAGCATCTAAATATAAAAAAATAAAATATTTGATTGCCAAACAAATTTTAAAGAACTATAGAAACTGAGATGCAAAGCTCTGTTCTGAGACAAACGCTTTCCGGTCTGATAATTAGCATGAGTCACATAAGTTATGAGACCAGAAGAGAGTTAGGTTTTTCCCTTGTTTTCTTAAAACATTGGTCATTTCATAAGTTTCCACATCCAAGTTATTAAAAGATTTTGTGGACTCGACTGTAAACACCTCACTTTAAAAATCCCATCTGCTCTTACTTGAGCAGTTGCACCGCTTCAGCACCGACTTAAAGTGAAACACAACTATCGATACAGAGCAAAAGAATAAAAATAATTAAAAAAGCAACAAACAGCCAACCACAATTTCCACTGTTTCACAACCGCATTGGCTTTTCTGAAACAGATGATGTGGCTCATTCACTGAAGACACCTTTTTGCTGAGCACAGTCTGTTCCCATCACCGAAGGACCTGTTTGCTCCCAGCCTGCCACGGCGGAGGCCGCGGAGCCTTGCGAGAGGAACGCTCAGCGCCTCCTAATCCATCATGTCAGGGCTCCCTGACAGGGCACTCCTTCACCCGCACTCGTTGCTATTCACTCTGCTGTTCATCCCAGGCAAGAATTCCGCCATCTCCCCAGCCCCATCGATCGGGATCATTTTTCACGCGGGTTCCCGGCTGCGGGGCTGGGGCTGGGCAGCGGCAGTGCTTGCCTGGCAGGCCGGCCCTGCCAACGCCTGAAGAGCTGATTTATGAATATGGAGCAACCCCGGGACCAGGGGACTGGCTCCAGTCACCAGAGACCACTGGAACATACTGACTGTTTCCGAAAGCTGAACTACAGACTTCAAGGGCTTTAATTTTATGCACGCATTTCATTATAAGGCTTGGCCAGAAGCTTTCCCAGACAAGCCAAGCAATCAGACAATCTTGCATCGCTTGCTGAAATCCAATTTTGTCCTTTGTCAGCATAAACAGTTTAATTTGATGTTTTCACTCCTGAGTAAGCACTGAGTATCTTTTCAATCTCTCTTGCAAAGGAGGACATCATTCTGTCCATCCACAAACACACTTCAGCCCAGTCAAAACACAGACCCACACATTAAAACAAGCAGGAACCCAACACCTCAGCGACCTTTCCCATTTAACACTGAATTTCCAGAAATAAACTGACCAAAAATACCCACCCTGACTTAATAAACTACTTGGAAAAAATAACCAACAGATTAGTTTAAGATCAAAATACAGCTCAAACTACTACCCCTGACTCGACTTTTGATACTTTTTTGCCTCAGTTCTGTCTTCCATTCCTCCACATTAGCCAATCTCTTTACCAAACACATCTAGTCACTGGAGAAAGCATCAGCCTGCCGGGTGCAGAAACATACAGGACACTTGGTGGCCAAAAGCAACATGTAACCACCAGACCCAGACCCGGCACAGCTGACCACAAATCAAAGTTTACGCTACAGTGAACTTAATCCATTGATACCCTGCTCCCTACTTTTCTTAACTCATTCCGCAACGATGTTATTTTGTGGAGGGCAAGGAGAGTGATCAGGATTTTCAGGGACCATTTTAAAGCTTTTAAAACACCAGCACTACAGTAACCATGTACACACTGGAAACCTTGTGACCTTACTCAGGCAGTCAGCTCCCGGCAGCTCTCTGGCCGAAGTCAGTCACAGCCACAGAGTTTACTACAATACTGGGTACAAGGCAACGAAAGAATCAGACATTTACATTTTTTTATGTATATCAAAGGCTAAACAATGACATCACATGACTGTTCCACGGATTTCCTTTGCCAAGGAAGCAACTTGCAGTTCCTGAAGTAATGGCACCACCTACGGGCCCAAGACCACCGCTGCACAACTTCTGCGCCTTACTCACAGGTCCCCTGGTTATTTAGTTATTATTTAGCTATTATTTAGTTAACCAGATGACTCAGTTTAACAGCTCACTGTTTCAGTAGTGCAAAGACACAGAAGAAAAAGAAAAACCTTTAACAGTTCCAAGAATATAGCAAGTGGGTGTTTTACCCAGAGATGCCAGCCATGAAGAGAAAGAGATGAACCACAAAGTTCTGGTTTCCCACTGCAGAGTCAGTGTAAAAGCTGCATCAGACACAGGCTGAGTCTGATTTACTAATGAGACACACTTCATTTTGAGATCGATTTTCCTTTCTGATGAGATATGCAAATCAAGTTTCTAAGGAATTTTTTTTACAGCGGGTTTTTGGGAATCCCACAATTCTCTTGCTTTAAGGCGCGCTGGGGAATGCACACGGCAGCTTTTTGAGTACCAGTTAGCTGGCTGATTTAGATTTAAATAGTATAAGAGCCCATGTTTTTAAAGTTTTAGAAAAGAAAGAGTGTACCTGTCTTACAAACACAAGTACAATTTCACCTGTATAATCTCAAGGTCTGCGCTGCTTCCAGCAAACAACAGAATTCAAGAAAAAAACCACTTCAGATCATAATTTGAAGCCTTCACCCTGCGGGAGGCTCACTCACCCATGGTGACGTACGGCAGCTTGTCGGTTGACCCGTGGGGGTAGATGCAGTACAGGTGAGGTCCCGTGACATCCACTCCCCCCAAAACCAGGGCAGCACCGATGTAGCCTTGATACCTGGGAGCAAGACCAGTACGTGAACGGGCAGGTTCACAGCAAAGCCGTGGTTCTTCTTCAACACCACGTACGCATCTGAGAATTCTTCTCTGATGACACCAGGCACACCTCCATAACAGAGAGATCGCTTTTACTGCCCGAGAGCAACAGTTTGAATTGAGGAATATACCCAAACACTGTACAGTTCAATGCCAAGCACAACAAACAAGCACTGGACAAGCAAGGATGATTCACGTGTCCTAACGGGTACAGAACTTGCACGAGTTCTCAAGCCTTAAATGATATCCCTGTATCTGCAATTAAGTTTTTATTTACGTAGAGTTCAAACATACTCCTTCACTTCCCCCATGAGATGTTCTCAGCTGCATTAACTTCTTAAATTATTGTTTTGTGACACGCTTAAAAAAAAAAAAAAGGCAGCAAACTGCCTAGTAATACAGCATTAAGCAACTGAGACGAATTATTGACATTTACCTGGTCACTCAGCTGCACAAAACATTTTCATCGTTTTATTTCACCTTCTGGAGATTTTTCAATAGCGTGAACAGTATTTTTAATTGAACACACTCGTTTAATTTTTTTCCTTCTATTTCACTAGCATATTCTGCACAAGAGACAGCACTCAACAGTTCCGGAATACTTTTGACATTTACCTGGTCACTCAGCTGCACAAAACATTTTCATCATTCTATTTCACCTTCTGGAGATTTTTCAATAGCGTGAACAGTATTTTTAATTGAACACACTCGTTTAATTTTTTCCTTCTATTTCAACAGCACATTTTACTTCTGCACAAAAGACAGCACTCAACGGTTCTGGAATACTTCAAGGTTTGGAGAGCATGCCCTCCAGCTAAAGACACGTTCTGCGCCACTCTCCTAGCTCGGGAGTTCCCCTGCCACTGACTGACCAGGCAAGCAATCAAACGAAATCGCAGGGGAACTGCGGTACAACCAGCACAAGTGTAGTATCAATTCCCTACAACACCACAGACCTGATTTCTCTTCCACCTCAGTTCAGAAGCCTGCGAAGCAAACAGCAGTTATTAAATGTTTCCCAAAGTCTGCTGATAAAGGTTAACAGGCTGAGGAAGGATGCCCCTTCACAGGAGCTTCTGGTTCCAAACCACTCTGTGATTCCCGAGTGGTTTTAACAGCATCATTAGTAACGGAGAAACCCCTCGGGTTACCTGAAGAGCATTTGCTTTAGCATCCGATTAGCTGTGACAACTCTGGGAAGCCGCCCAGTGGACAGCGAATGGAGCTCCAGGTTGGAGGAAATCAGCTGCGTTGTCATATCAGTGTCTGCAGCCGTGCCTGCTCCGCAGCAACTGAAAAACATGGTGAGCAAGTTAAGAAAAGGGGGGGAGGACAGCAGAAACAAATCACTTACTGCTTCACCTAACAAGGAGAAGTTTTCTTACTGTAAAATTGAGGAAATTAAGTTCTCGTGCAGTCAATATTTTCAGAGCATGAAACGAGACAGTCTGTTTAAGTGTAAATGACAAAGATCCCCAAGGTTTGCTAATAAATTAGTTGTCATTTCAAAGAACACCTTAACGTTTACTCTTAGCAAAGGGCATGGCTGAAAGCCCCAATGGTGTAACCAACACCATCACACAATAAACAGTTTTAGAACTTACTAGATATTAGGGGAAATGAAGTGTATTTTTGAACAGTTCTTGTCAGCAACAACCATCCCTTCAGTCGCTCTCGTATCTGCCCCAAGGACGATGCCATCCTATGGAAAGAGAGAATTAGTCCCCGAGCCTCCATCTGCAGAGGGCACCTTCCCAGCACTGACCAGGGGATGGGCTGCAAGGCTCGGGGGGCCACAGGAGCCAGCTCTGCACAGACTGAGACAATGGCTACGAAAGCCAAGAGTATCCTGACCTGTATTAAAAACAAAACCAAAAACAAAGGTGCCCAGCGGAAGTAGGGAAATGACTGTGCCCCTGTGCTCAGCACTGGTGCGGCCACAGCTTGAGCACTGGGCACCACAGTATAAGAAAGACATGGAGGTGCTGGAGCGTGTCCAGAGAAAAACGAGGAAGCTGGTGAAGGGTCTGAAGAACAAGTGTGATGAGGAGCAGCTGAGGGAACTGGGGCTGTTCAGCCTGCAGGAGGCTGAGGGGAGACCTTCCCACAGCTCCCTGACAGGAGGGTGTAGTGAGGTGGGGTTGGTCTCTTCTCCCAAGTAACAAGCCATAGGACAAGACAAAATGGGTTCAGATCGTGCCAAGGGAGGTTTAGAGCGGGTACCAGGAAAAACTCTTTACTGACAGAGTGGGGAAGCACTGGCACAGGCTGCCCGGGGGACGTGGAGTCCCCATCCCCGGGGCTGTTCAAAAACACACAGGGATGGCAATTCGGGACACGGCTCAAGTGCTCATGGCGGTGGTGGGCTGACGGCTGGACTTGCTGGGAAAAACCTCTAAGATCACCCTTAAGGGCTCTACAGGATGACTCAGCAG